AATTTAAATTTATTATAAAATAAATTTGCACAAAACCGCTTCATCAGACAAGCTGAACTTCCTGTCAGCCTGTGACATCAAATTTTTGTAAGAAATATGAATGTATTTTTGGAAAGACAACATTTTTAACATTTTAGAAAACAAATTTCACACTGCTCAGATGAACAGTTGTTGAGATATTTGCATGTGAAGTAACAGGAAGTGGTATCAAAAGGGAATATCTGAATGGGAATATTTAAAAAATAAATAAATGTTACCAATTATTTTAATATTTGAAATGAATTACAGTCATCCTATTTATAATGTGTTAACATTTTTAAGAAATGACTTTAATGAAAGACTGATTTAAGACCTTTTAAGGCTAATTAAGGTCTTATTTTTGGATTGATGAATTCAAGTTTTTTTTAAGACATTTTAAGGATTTGCAGGAACCCTGTAGAGAAATAAAAACCTTGCAGTAAGAGACAGTTTAGGGTCAAACTTCAGAACCTGTCTCCTGGAAATAAAATGACAATTTTCGCCGTTAAGCTGTGAGCTCCAAGCGTGCGCCGGCTCAAAGATAGCCCTAAATCACTCAGTGGTGCTCCATCAGGCAAGTCTTTTTGCAAAGGTTCTGTGTAAAAACTGAATTTTACCTCACAAAGCCATTTGTCCTGCACAAGTCGAGTTAAAAGGTGCTCGGTTTCACTCTTCTTCATCCTTTTGGAGGTCATGGTGTCGGTGCTGTTCAGAATGTCAGTGGAGGAGGCCGTGCCTCTCTCAGAGCCCACAATCAGGTCCATCTGCAGTAGAGCAGATTCACAGCATGTTTTAGTGTTAACATCATCTGCAGAGCTCAACCCTCATGGGCTTAGGATATCGTGTTCATAAACTAGTGCTCTCTAAGTAATTATCTGTGTTTCAGGATAATCTTTTAAAACACATGCAGGAGTCGGCCTGTAAAAACTGACCGAATAAAATGAACTCACGGTTTTCCTGAACAACTCCAGCTCATTGTCGGCGTAATCTGACGACATCCTGGTGATGTCCGTTTCAGTCGTGTTGACCTGGACAGAATCAGTCGATGATGATGATGATGATGATGTCACACACTAGCCTCTTTCACAAGACAAGTCCAGCTTCAAGCTCATTCATAAAATCAAAGGAGAAGCCAGCCAGGTCCCGCTCACGTGTGTGTTCACAAATGAACCCAGCAGAGCGAAACCGAACGAGGCGTGGAGCAGAACTCAGCTGGGCTGAAGTGGACCACAGCGTATTTATTGTGTGATGGTCGTCTGCCGCGTATCAAACAAAATAAACTAAATTAACTCATTTTAGTGATCCTGTGGTTCAATTTGCTTTAAACTAACAACACAGTTGCTGTTCTGTGTCGTCTTTAATATTCCCTCAGTAATGAATCTGTTTGTTGATTAATCCTGCGGTCGATCACTGATGTCATCAGCTCATTGTCATTTTTTTCTGTTGCTTTTTTACAAGGCGGTCTGCCCGCCTCTGATACTACCACGCTTGGGGGCTCAGAGGGGCATCAGAGGTGGGCTCACTTTACTCGCCTTTCTGCATTTGTTTTTTCTGAATGATCCGAGGAGGACGTAACACGTGTCAGTCCCAGACTGAGTTGTCTGTGACTGTTTACATTAAATAAAAAGACCTAAAGGCTATTTTTTATCGCACAAAACACAAGGCAGCAAATCAGTGATTACGTCATTTCAGACATCTTTTTCTTACTGTGTTTGTACGTTGAAGACACGGGGGATAAATCATGATCTCACTCACAGCACTCTCAATGTAGCATATATAGCATATACCGTATTTTTCGGACTATAAGCCGCAACTTTTTTCCTGAACTTTGAACCATGCGGCTTATAGTCCAGTGCGGCTTATACGTGGATTTTTTTCTTCAGCCACCAGGGGGCTCTTATGCTCCATTTGCTTCAACCACTCGCTTCAAAAAAAAGAAAAAAAAAAAAAAAGAAAAAAGCTATCGCTTCCAGAGCCGACTGTTGACCAGGAAGCAGCGATTTAAAGATAGTCAATGGCCAAAAACTCATAAAAGGGGATAAAACAGACATTTTTCACGGTGGAATCTGACTGATAAAAACTTTGGAGCTTAATCCAGGACCAGTTTGTGGATAAACGTTGAGTGAAGAGCTGCTGACTTTTTTTTCGGCATTGCACTCCCCGGGGAAGGAATCCCATGCAGTGACGTACGCTGGAGCGAGAGGGCTATCCCAGCTTTTTCCTGATGTCTGCCAGTGGATCCTAACAGCGTGGAGAAGAGTGAATGAGTCCACCATCACAAATGGGTTCCGAAAGGCTGGACTGCTACGTGAAGCGGGCACCACAGCTTCAGAGCCAGCCCGGGAGGACAGCGACACAGAAACTGAACAGGTACCGCTGTGTGACGCAGCTTGTTTAACTCCGACACTGAAGAGGAGGATTTTGACGGTTTCAGTGCGCCGGAGGACGATGAATGAGACTGTTGGACCAGAAACGGTTAAAGAAAACTACCAAAATAAGGTCAGTTCAATTAACTGTATTCCTCTGAACTTTACCGATAATTCCTAAAGGTTTGCTTTATATGTTTTTAATTCCAGACCTCTCGCTTTTTTTCCGAGTTTTTTTTATTATTATTATTATTTTGTCACTGATGATGAAGAAATAAATAAACTAAATAAACTAATATTTGGTTTCATTTTCTACTGAAGTGACAAAAAAAGAAAGAAAGCAAGACTGAACAGATACCGCTGTGTGACGCAGCTTTTCGCAGCTCGTTTAACTCCATAACTGAAGAGGACTGCTTACTGATGGGGGGTGGGGGGGTGCGGCTTATAGTCCGGTGCGGCTTATATGTTGATGTTTGCGCTTTTTTTTTTAAATGGCGGGTGCGGCTTATAGTCCGGTGCGGCTTATAGTCCGAAAAATACGGTAGCTAAGTCTATAAACAACAGTGACAGCAAAATAGATGTTGTAGAGCTGTTTTCTTCATCCGTGATGTATAGGATGTTTGCAGAGAGGCTCATTTTGCTGGAAACTGTTTTTTTCTTATCAATCATGGAGATGGAATAAAGACTAAATCTTCCTAATTTAACAACCAGCCAACATGAGCGGACCATTTTCAGCAAAATGACATGAAATGCTGACTGGAGGCAATGGACAGGACTGGACGTCAGAGTAAGAAAACATCACATCATCACACACAACACTAAGCAAGATGTGAGAGTAGAAGTTTACATCAACCTCAACACTGCAGCCATGTTTGCGGTGACAGCCACTCACCAAAGCATAGTACTGGTGACCGTTTTCCTCAGACATCCCTTTCTTAACCTGCATGAACATCGGCTGCAGCTTCAGATTTATGGTCTCGATGAAAGGATCCAGTCCGTCAGCAGTCCAATGCACTGCAAGAAACAAGTATATTAAAAAAAATCCACAGTAAACATACCTGCAACGACTTCAGGCACTCTTTCCATGACAAAGTTAAAACATTATCAGCTCATACGTATCTAGGGGTAAAAATGTCTAGTTGCTTTTATGGAAAAAAAAAAAACCCAAAGGATTTGATTTGCTACAATTTTTTTTCTCATTTTGATCTTCTGAGTGGAAGACAAAGTTAATCCCATTATACAGAGATCAAAACTGTCACCTATTTCTCTTTTTTACATCAGTAAATGTTTGTACTTGCAGAAAAGATACTCACTCTTATATGTTTCACAACAGTGCTGGTAAAGCTTCTTTGCTTCCAGCTCATCAATGATGCGAACACCCATCATGGTTTGCAGGAACCTCCGATGACTGTCTCCCAGCTGTGTCATGTCTGTGGACCAGAAATCTTTAATTTACTACAAACCACATTCACAATAGGGATTGCTCCTAAAACAAGCATTAAGTGGTTATAAAACATTCCCAGAGAGGAGTTTACGCAGACAGCAAAAACAAAAGGTGAGCTCAGTCACGTGTGTCAGGAAAACAATCACTGTGTTTTTGTTTATGAAGATAAACTTGTGTCTTTTTCAGCAAAATGGAAACTTAATATTCACAGTCCAGTTGTGATTCTTCTGTAGTACTGCTCCTCTGACAAAAAATAAAATAAAATAAAATAAAACTTCACATAATGCTTGGGGCTGATTCATGTCAGCAGCAGAAACATGATGGATGTTGAGATGATAATTTCAGCAATCCAGAAAATCAAAATAAAAAACACAGATTGCTTTATTTTGCAAAATGCCATGTCAAAAACACTGATTTGTTAATGGCTGATGGTGGTGCAGACTATTAAGTGGGAGGGGTCGCCACAAACTCCTCCATGTTTCCTACTTAGCAGTGTTTACATGACTCTATTTTCTGAAAACTGGGTATATAACATGTGATTGAAAAAAAAAACTGCATAGGTTTCTGTTATTTGCTAAGATGCACCCAAGATTTAGAGCTTTATAGTTAGTACTGCAAAATAGATCTGCACTTTTACTTCACGACAAACAGATAAATGTTTACTGATGTCAACATTTACTTTTATTATGTTGTGCCATTAATGTCAGCTATTTTTAAAACACCTAAAAATGACACGTAATTGAAATGCGATAAAACAGATAGCTTCCACTACTCAGCTTCTACTCAGTTTACCGTCAGTGTTTATAGCAGCTGTAAACACGGCAAATCTTTTTTTTTCTTTTGTATTCCAATGGTTTGTTTACCTTTACTGTCACTTTAGAAATCGAGGAGACAAACCTTGTAAGCTAAGTGAAAAATACTTTTACTTGGGCTCGTCTGTGTTACGGTTAAAACTTTGGCTAACTCTTTCCGGCGCGTCTTCGGTTATTCTGCAGTCAGTTGATTTGCTGAAGTAGCGACCCCTGCTGACAGGGAGGACTATGCGCATGCGCAAACTGTCAAATTCAGGAATATTGGATTTTGAATTAGTTTTAGTTTACTTTAACGTATTTCTGACACTATCTTTCTAATTTACAACATTTTATATACTGATATTGTGCATTTTACTCAGTTTAATGCTTTTATGGGGAGAAAAATCCCAGTTTTGAGATATATATATA